CCCTCAATTCTACATGGAGGTCTAGGTCTCCAAATATAGGCTTGGGACTCCCAAAGACATTGCAGGCATGACTGGTAAACAGTCCTGTCAAGCCAGCAATGGACAGAAGAATCCGTCCTACATGACGAAAGTCCGATTCTTTAAGGGTTTACGTTTCTTGGGTATGCTTAGGCCCTATCTCTGAGGACATCACCTTAGTTAAGTCCTTTGGAAAAGAAATCTAAGACTTGTTCTAACATTTTTAAAAATAAATAAATAATAATTTTAAAAAGGGCTCTAAAGTCACTGAACCAAAGTCCCTCAGACAGACCTGAGATCTTCCTCTCAGGAAGGGCTCCAACCTACCTATGACTCCTGGGGAATTCCCAAAGTCAGTCATGCAGATGAGACCTCAGGACCAGGGCTGACAAATATGAGCTGCAAGACAGCTCTCAGATCTCATCTTGAAGTATCTTAGCTTACTTAGGGCTCTACACACTAAGCCCTTGGGGGAAATGAGGGTTTCATCATGCCTCCACCACCAGAAAAGAATGTCATGCCCAGCAACAAGACCTAGGTTTCTTAGACCAATCTCAAACATTTCTTTGGGTCCCTTCTCAGTCTGGTGGACTCACTCGCTGTTTCTTCCTGCCCCTCACCTTCCAGCCCTTACCTGTTCTACAGTGGCAGGATCCATGGCCTCGATTCGTGCAGCAGCAGCTTCATATTCATCTTCACTGTTGTAGCCTGCTCCAACCTCTTCGCGCTCCGGACTGCCCCCGCCAACTGCGCCAACGCCGGGAGCTTGACGCCGCCGCTTGCTGTGCCCCGGCCCCGAGCAGCAGCCACCCACGCCCACGGCACCACCCACGCCCACCACCACCCCTGCCGCGCCCACCCCCGCAGTTGCCGCACCAAGAGCGTCACCAGGACCGCCGCCGGGGCCACCAGGGCCCCCACAAGGAGGTGGAGAAGCCTGCTGTGGCCGAGGGCCCGCCACTGCGCCAGGAGGCACTGCTAGTGCCCAACGATGAAGAGCACCAGGCGGCCCCGGTAGCGGGCCCTGAGGTGGTGGTGAAGCCCGGGGACGGGTCCCCACTACTCCGGAGTCACGATCGCGCTCTCCTCCACCCACGCCCGTGCCGCCGCCGCCCACGCCTACACCCCCACCGCGCCGAGGCGCAGGGGGCAGTGGCCCGGGCGGCGGCGGTTCGTTGGCCGGGTCGGCGTCGGGAGGTGGCGGCTTTTTTTTGGGGAGAATAGTCATGGCGGCACCGCCAAGTACCCCACAGCAAACCAGACGCGAAGAACGCCGGGAGAGAACCCGGATGAGGGGCTACTGTTGTGCGCGGAGCACGATGGGTACAGCGAGGCCTGGGTACCCGGTTCGAGAACCGCAGGCAGTACGCAGGTCACGCCCTGAGGAGATCCCGGATGTGAAGTCCAATAGGATGGTACAAAGATGAATTTGTCGTAGCCTTTTCTCCCTCCAAGTCCAGCCAAGCTTATTGCTATCTTGTTCCGGGACTCGGCTTCAAAGGAAACACAACCAAAACAAGCACCTCTTCGTCCCGCCCCTTCGCAGGTTCTTGAACTACAGGGTGGGGCCTCCCGAGCTATGCGCACGCGTAACAGGACACAGATCCGCCTCTCCTACGGAAGGACGTGAGCAAAATCGTCGCCGCGGTCGCAGTTGCAGACACTGACCAATTGCAGAAGCAGCGTAAAAGCTTGACAACACCCGCTAGCCAATCAGGGGTGAGCGCTCCCTCTTGTGTCCTCCGACTCAAATTTCAAAGTGCAGCCTTGTTCTCAGCCTTTCTCTTCGTTCCAGTCTAGTCTTTATTTTCCCCAAGCTTCTGACCCACAGGCATCGGTACTGTGAACAAACAAAATGGTTTGTCTTGTGCACAACAAAGGTAGTCTTCTCAAGGATTCCATCTGGAACTCAGGCTCACTAGAAAAGATCATTCCCACAGCATTTGTCCTCTATGGCGTCACTTCCGTTTCCACTCAGCTGCAGACCCGAAAGGGCAGACCCTACTTCATTCTGGCAACAAACGTAATCTTGCGGTGATTGGTTCAGCCGTGCTGCCCATCACTTCAGATGGGCCAACTGCTAGACAGACATGAGCCATATGGGTAGTGAGTGTTTGGCGAAAAGACACGCCTTCTCTGTCACCACCGCCCTCTTACCCTCACTTTGACCTCAAGCCTATGGCTATTGCACAGGCGCGGTACAGTCTTTATTCCCCCCCACACACCCCCAAGAAAAACCCTTAGTTTATTCAGGAAGAAAATATTTACTAACCAGCTGGTGCCTCCAGTGGTGTTGTCAAAATCATTGATGTTGCGCAGCTAGGATGCTACTAGCTAATTAGCTTGGCCCTTCATGTCTGAGTGTTTGGAACAAGTCAGTTACCTGTTTGAGCCTCTCTACTCTATAAATTAGCAATAATTTCTATGTGTTAGAAATTAATGCCAGTAAATGGTCTGGTTCTGTGCATGGCACAGAATAAGTGCTATATAAATTAGAACCTATGTTAGTGCAGAAGGATCATGGACTTTAATTCTTTATGAGGAAGACATCAGTTTAGGCACACATGGATCATTATGAACCATATCACCTCCTGAAAATCATTGTCTCTTTTGAGATTACCTATCAAAAGTGCAGTATCAAGGGGTTGGGGATTTAGCTCAGTGACAGAGAAGGCTCTGCTGGAAAATAAAAATGCAGTATCAAAATTGGGGTTATGTCGGGCACTGGTGGCACACTCCTGTAATCATGGAGGCAGAGGCAGGTGGATCTCTGCGAGTTTGAGGCCAGCCTGGTCTACAAAGTGAGTTCAGCCAGTCACACAGGGAAACCTTGTCAGAAGAAGAAGGAGAAGGAGGAGGAGGAGGAGGAGGAGGAGGAGGAGGAGGAGGAGGAGGAGGAGAAGAAAAAGTAAAAGTAAAAGTAAAAGTGTGGGGTTATCATTGCTCTGAAGGCCCAGGCAGTAGGATCAAGACCTAAAAGCCAGGGGCTGAAGCTTTGTAGTTAGAGTATTTGCTCTTCCAGAGGACCCAGGTTTAATTTCTAGCACTCACATGGTGGCTCACAACCATCTCTAACTCCAGTCCCAGGGATCCGACACCATGTTCTGGTCTCAGCCTGCACTAGGCATGCATGTGATGAAAAATACATACATGCAGGAAAAAAAAACACCTATATACACATAAAATAATTTTTAAAAGAGAGTTCCAAGATTAGCCGGGACTACATGTTGCAATTGTCTCCAACAAAAGATATTTTGGGAGAAACAGATATCAGTAATACATGGGTAAATATGGGTGGTAGCAATGTTTTCTGTTTCTGAGACTTCACAGGAAGAAAGGACTCATATCTACTGGGACTTCTGTGATCAACGATTTCTGCCAAATGCCTATTAAATCATCTTATGGTTGTCTTCAGACCCATATATCTCATCCCCTACTGGTTATCTTCTCAGCACTGCCCATCTAAAACTGAACTCATAACATTTACGACTAGCCTTAGCTTGTCCCCCCATACTTAACTATGTACATGGCACTGTAGTAATAACTTTGATGTTTCCTTCAACAGCAAAAGGCACCCACCCCAGCCAGTCATTGCCCAAACAAGAAGCCTAAGAGTCAAATTAACTGCTTCCTCTTCTCCATCTCCACCTGTCTGTCCAAGTCCCGCTCATTCTGTCTCTGGAATTTCATGATTCTCCAATTCTACTGCTATCAATCTAGCCAACCCAACATCCCCTACCAAGTGGACTACCACAAAAACCCTCGACTGATCCTCCTTCATTCAAGATGTTCCCCCCATAACCGAAATTATCCTTCTGAAATGCAAGCTTAATGACATGCCTGTTTCTGAGTCTTCAGTGGTTCCCACTTATACCCCAAATCCATCTCCCAGCTTCCAAACTTTGCAAACTGTATTATCTACATCCCTCCCTTTAGCCTTGCATTTTCCTTTCCTTCTAGAGTAAACTACTTTCAGTTCCCCCAAAGCCTATTTAATCCCACTCTCTAACCCTCAGATCACTGTACACATTGAGCCCTCCGCCCATTTCCATTTCCTTCCTTGTATGCTGATCAGTTTAGGTTACCATCTATATGTTTCTTAGGTTGATATCTATATTTTTATAATTCATCAACATTAGTTCTACACACTGTATTATAACTGTCTGTCTGCCTCTGTACATTATATATAATAATGCCACTTTGCTCATCATTGTGCCTTAGTGCTAGTACATGATGGGAAGTTAACAAATATTTGACGAATAAAAAAAAAGTCTCTACTTCAAATTAGTAACTTGACACAAAAGAAGGTGATTCTGTCACCTAAGGACTGAAATATATCAATCTGTATCCAAGATTTGTCTTCTCAGTGCTCTCTATGGAGCCCAGTCACACACGCACATACAAGGCTGGTATAGCCAGTATCCAGAAGAGAGTACAGGGGTATCCATGATGAAGGGGGATATACCAAACTCAGAAATAATTTTATTAGGGTTAAATTTATAGGGTTTTGCTATCAGGAAGCATGGGCTTAAGTTTCTCCTTAAAGTAGCTACATGCTGCTCTAGATCTTGGCTTCTCTATCTGTGAATGAAGGCCCCAAAACAAGCTAATTTCCAAGGTACAATAGTCTTAGTACTCTCTGGCCTGCTTCATTGCCTACAGAGACCTACTTTTCAATCCACCCTCTTTCATTTCTCATATTCAAGAATACATCACGCCGGATGGTGGTAGCACACACCTTTGATCCAAGCACTTGTGAGGCAGAGGCAGGTGGATCTCTGAGTTCAAAGCCAGCCTGGTCTACAGAGTAAGTTCCAGGATAGCCAAGGCTACAGAGAAACCCTGTCTCGAGAAAAAAAAAAAAAAAAAGAATACATTTCTAGACCTCTACCCACACCAGTCCCTTCACTATTGAAAGAGTCTTCTTAACCCCTCAGTTGAACCCAGCCCTTGAAGTCAATCCAGAGTCAGTAGATTCTCAGTCCACATCTCTCAGGTTTTATTGACTGATGAAAACTTCATCTTTTTCAACTGACAGCTTCAGAGGGACAGAGCTAGAGACAGGGAACCTGAGATAATGAGAGATTTCAGTCTGAGCACACAGATCCAGAAGGTGAGCCATGAAGGAGGAGAAGACAATGTGGAAAGTAGTCACAAGGGAGAAGGAGGCAATCAAGAAGTCTCTTCTATTCTCCCAGGGTTCAGGAACAACCCAGGTCTCTGCCCATAACATTTCTGGACTCCTGCCCAAAAATATGAAATCATCTATGATGTCAACACCCAGCCCAGCTCTTGCAGGATGCTAGTCTCTTATCTCAGCAGGTCCAGACTCCAGACCAACCCACAAACCCAGAAAAGAGAGTAGTTACATGTGGCCCATCTGATCAAAGCAGATGTATATGCTGTAGCAAATTGGTCTGAAGCTTTGTGTACTGTTTTGGCAGCCGCTGCAATTGCTAGAATTTGCTGGCGGCCCAGCAGAGGACAGGTGGCAGGAACTCACTTCTAGCAGCCAGGAAAGGGGGTGGTGGTGTTTGGGCTATCTCTGTGTTAGAAGAAGCAGTCTGACCTCTCAGCCAAAGCTGGATGGTAACAGGTTACTAAGAGGCCACAGGCCATTAAGTCAGCTCATGATTGCATTCCAAGCTTCCAAATCTGGGGATTGCTGTGCCTGTTGAATGACAAAGGCCTTGCCCACTAGAGGCTAAATGAAAGTTAAGGGTTCTCTTGAACCCCCAAACTTGCACAACCAAAGAGAAGAGAGTTGCTCTCAAATGTTAGGCTACAAAAAGCTTTAACCTGTCTCTGAGGGCTCAAGGGGAGAAGCATGCAAGAGGCCAGCTAGGAGAGAGAAGCCAGTCCCAGAATGCTGGAGCAAGGAGGCAAGGGGCCTATGGAGTCTCAGCGTTTCAACTCCCACCAGGAAAACTGTCTGGACTGAGGGAAATTTTCCATTCCCTAGCTACTTCCTCACCAGATAGGCCATTCCATGAAACTCCATTGCATAGTTCCTGGCAGGAGGCATAAGGGGTCCCCAAGTCTTCCCCTCTCTGCCTCCCCAAAATATGGCTTTGGAAAGGAGTTTCCAAGAATAAAGAAGGCCCTCTGAATGGGCAGGCCCATTCCTCACAGGGAAGAGATCTTGACAGTCTCAGGGAGAAGGCAGGTGGTACCCAAGCTGGAGTTCCTGAGGGTAGTGTTGGTTCTACCACCACTTCCACCACTATCACCAGGAGAGGAAGGTTGACTCTCATCTGGTGTATTGGCAGGAGGGGTAGGGATACTGATGATGGCAGCCACGAAGTCCCGGCTGTCACAGTTCAGGTCAAGGCTGTCATGGGGCTTGGCATTGAGGCTTGAGCGGCTGTGAACCGGGAAGGGAAAGAAGGAATACGCTTAAAAAGTCATCTTGGTAATTGCCATACCAGTCTTCACATTAATTAAATACCTACTAGTCCCTTGCAGTATTCTATTAGCTCTCCCTGTATCCTCAGTTTTGGTAAAGGAGGCACATTTCAGAGTCAGCTTGTCTTAGGCTCAAATCATAATCACATTTTTACCACAGTAAAAACCCTCTTTTATTTGTATCATGGAAACAAAAGTATTCCTTACCTTATTAAGTTGTGATAGCAACCCAATGAAATAATAAATGATACAAAGTACCTGAACATAGCACACATACACATAAACACACACACACATACACTGAAATAATTTTGTGTGATGCTGGGGATTGAATCCAGAGACTTGTCATGTTTATTTGTGTACCACGTGCATTCCTGGGGCACAAGGATACCAGAACAGTGCATATAATCACCTAAAACTAAAGTTATGAGTGGTTGTGGGTGTTGGGAATTGAACCCAGATGCTTGGTGAGAGCAATAAGTACTCGTTTGATTTTGTTTTGTTGTTTTGGAGACAGGGTTTCTCTGTGTCAACCCAGCTGGCCTGGAACTCACTCTGTAGACCAGGTTGGCCTCAAACTCACAGAGATCTACCTGCCTCTGCCTCCTGAGTGCTGGCATTAAAGGTATGCACCACCACTGCCCTTACAATAAGTACTCTTAAGCACAGAGCCATCTCCCTAGTCCCTCTATTGTTAGCCTTAACAATGCCAAAATTACCGTAAGAGTCTATACTAGAAACAGGTACTGGTGGCACACACCAGTAATTCTGGCACTCACAAGGCTAGGCAGGCAGATGCCGAATCTGAGGCCAGCCTAGTGAGAACCTATATCAAAACCAAACTGAACAGACAAAAAGTTAAAAAGTCTACATTAGCCAGGCAGTAGTGGCATACCCCTTTAATCCCAGTACTCCGGAGGCATAGGCAAGACTGGTCTACAGAGTAAGTTTCAGGACAGCCAGAGCTACACAGAGAAATCCCACTTAAAAAAAAAAAAAAGACGACAGTAGGAAGAAAACTGAGAAAACTGAGGCCTCATTCCTTTCTGATTGTCTACCTTCTTTGTCCCTGACTTACTCCTCTGCCCAGAGCAGTTTACTTGCCAGACCTCCAACGTACAGACAGCTCATGGCATTTGCATGGGCTAAACACTGCCTGAAAAGCTCTTCCTGAAGTTATATGTACAGCTTACTTCCTTGCCTCCTTCAGACCTGAACTCAGACACCATCTCAGAAAAGCTTTTCATTTCTTTAAAAAGGCTTTTTTTGAGATTATTTTATTTTATGTGCTTTGTCTGCATGTATGTATGCACCACATGCATGCCTGGTACCTATGGAGGTCAGAAGAGGGTATCAGGTTCCATGGAACTGAAGGTTGAGGACCACCATATATGGGTTCTGGGAACCAAATTCAGAATCTCTTCAAGAGTAACAAGTGCTCTTAGCCACTGAGCCATTTCTCTAGCCCCAGAAAAGCTTTTCTTGACCACACTACTAAAACTGCCTCTGATTGCACATAGCTCAGTTATACAATATTTAATTAACATTTGTTAGACCCTAGGCTCCATTCCCAGTCATAAAAAAGATAATGTTTTTATTTACTATTTTAAAAAATTTATTTATACAACATTCTGCCTGCACACCAGATGTTAATATAGATGGCTGTAAGCCACCATGTAGTTGCTGGGAATTGAACTCAGGATGTTTGGAAGAACAGCAAGTGTCTTAACCTCTGAGCCATTATCTAGCCCCTTTATTTACTTTTTGAGACATGGCCTCACTATACTGCTCTGGTTGGCCTGAGACTCATTATGTAGACCAGGCTGGCCTTGAACTCACAGAGATTGGGTTGTCTCTGCCTCCTGAGTGCTGGGACTAAAGGCCTGCACCACCATGCCCAGTCTGAAAAGAACATCCATCCATCCATCCAACCAACCAACCAACCAACCAACCAACCAAAAAACCCAATTGTGTGATCCTACATGTAGTCTGTGTACTTGTCTCTTCTTCAGTTTATCTTTTCCTATTAGAATGGAAGTTTCAGGACACAAGGATCCATGCCCCTAACCCCAAGCCCCTGCGTGTGTGTGTGTGTGTGTGTGTGTGTGTGTGTGTGTGTGTGTGTGTGTTTGTGGTGTGGAACGTAATGCTTCCTGCATACTAACCAAATGTTTCATCATTGAGTGACATCCTCAGCTCAAGTGATTCCTTCTGCCTTAGCTTCCTGAATGGCTAGGGCTATAGGACTATGCCACTAATGATACTCAGTAACTATCTGAAAGAATGAATGAAGAGCAGAGTACAGTAATGTATGCACTCTAGCACTTGATGACCAAGGCAGAACTATCAGGAGTTTGAGCCCAACTTGGTCTATAAACAAAGCAAGACCCTATTTTAAAACTTTGAAAAATGAAGAGTTTCCAAGACAAACTCAAGGCCCTTCCTTGTGCAGAGGAATTTGGGATTGGGCTTGACTTGCTAGGCCTACAGTCCTGAAATCTCAAACCCATGGTGCAAATTCTGCACTTTCCAACCGGGGTCAAACAGGCGAGCTAGGGCCTTACCTCTGAGGGGCAGGGCTCCTCGGAAGCCCTGCTAGAGTGTCGAGCTCCTGCATGCTGCCGCGGCTGACAGAGGCAGTAGAGTTGGCGAGGCGGATGGCTCGACGCTTGGCCCTTCTAGGGCAGCAGGATAGAAGGCTGCTAGACCCCATTGGCTGGGAAGATACTGAGGTACTACGGGTGGTGCGACCACCCAGTGAGACAGCTCCAAGAGCCTCACTGAAGGTTAGCTCATCTGTGAACTCATGACACTGTAGGCAGGAGGGAAGCAGGATCACAGGATACCCCAAGCCATAGAAACGAGTATAACTTCCAGGCCTTTGCTTGAGCAAACTCACTCTCCCTCCCCTTTCCTTGCCCATTCTAGAAGCCTCTTTGTTTTGTTTGGTTTTCTTTTCTTTTCTTTTGACACAAAGTGAGGACTATGTAGCCTTAGCTGGCCTGAAATTCACTATGTAAACCAGGCTGGAACTCATAGAGATATAGAGGTCACCTGTATCTGCCACAAGACTCAGCCTTTTAAAAAAAAAGTTTCATATAGCTGAGCATGGTGGCCCATGTATATAGTCCCTGCACTCAAGGAGGCAGAGGCAGGCAGATCTCTGTGGCCAAGGCTACACAGAAAAACTCTGTCTCGAAAAACCAAAAACCAAAACCCAAACCAAACCAAAAAAGGATCATGTGATTTCTCAGTGAGGGGAAAAAACTTGGTGTCAGGAAGACCTCCTCCCTCCTGCCAAGGCAGCATCTTGTTTGGCCTCACCGTAGTCTTCTCTAGACAGTGCAGCAGATGGTGGTGCTGCTGCTCAAAAGCAGAATGGCTCCTAAGACACAGCGCCTGTCCCTCCCCACTGCCACTGTCCTGGAACAGATGGAGCAGAAAACAGGCAATGAGCGCTTTCCCCTCCTTCCTCTCCCCTCACCCTCAACCCCAGTGAAGGCCCCTCCCCACCTCAAGGCCCCCATTTTGCTTATACTGCAGGAAGGCATTGGTGGTACCGCTCTTTGCCAATCGGATTCTTGCCAGGCGCACCTTCTACACAGAGGAGATAAAACATTAGATAGTTGAACCCAGGTGCAGACAGGCTTAGGGTGGAAGTAATGCCAGGGCTCTTAAGAGAAATGAGGTTACCTGCTGTGCCCGGCGCTTGTCAGCACGCTGGTTCTGGTGGTAGATGCGGCTAAAGTTGGACACAATGACTGGCACAGGCAAAGCAATGACCAAGACACCACTAAGTGAGCAGATGGACCCAAAAATTTTACCAGCAATGGTGCTAGGCACCATGTCTCCATACCTGGGAAAGACAGAAAGCAGGTCAAGGTTAGAAGAGGGGTTTAATACTCCCACTCCATTCACCCACTCCTTATGAGCTCTGCAAACATGACCAAGCACATGGAACTTCTGAGCTTCAGTTTCTTTTCCTTCCTTTCTTCCTTCTTCCTTCCTTCAACTATTTCATGTGTGTGAGTGTTTGCACACATGTAAGTATGGTGCTTGAATAGGTCAAAAGAGGGTGTCAAATCCACAGTAACTGAAGTTAAGGGTGGTTGTAATCCACCATGTGGGTACTAGGAGGGAAATCTGGGTCCTCTGTGAGAGCAGCAAATGCCCATGGAGGCCAGAAAAGGGTGTCATCTCCCCTGGAACTGGAGTGACAGACAGTTGTGACATACCACGTGGGAATGCTGGAAACTGAACCCAGGTTCTCCAAAGCAGCAAAATGCTCTTAACCACTGAGCTAGTTCTCTAGTCCCAACTCCAGTTCCTTACACTTAAGCTTATACTTAAGTTTGGAGAATGGGGGCTAGAGAAATGGCTCAGTGTTTAGGAATTCCAGAGGCCCAAGTTTAGCACCCATATCAATCAGCTTACTACTATTAGAAACTCCAGCTCCAGAGGATCCAACACCCTCTTCCGGAAAGACTCCATGGACACCTGCACTCACATGCACATACCCATACACTATACACACAATACACTAGGGACCACACATATAATTTTAAAAGTATAAAAAAATAAATCTTCAAACTGTGGACAATGGCCAGGCATGGTGGCATCTGCCTTTAAGACCAGCAATTGGGAGGCAGAGATATGTGGCTCTCTGAGTTTGAAGCTAGTGTGATCTACAGAGAAAGTTCTGGGACAGTTATGGCTACACAGAGAAACCCTGTCTTAACAAAACAAAAGACAAAATGTGGAACATGACCTCTCTGGCCCCCAGCTTAGGGCTCAAGTGAGAGATGGGGCAGCCCTCAGTTTCTATATCTGCTGCCCGCATCTAAGCTACACATTGGGCACCACTATCAGCTGGACATCTAATACCAAGCAGAAAGGAAAACAAGGAATAAATACAGGCTCCTGGGGGAGTCCCAGCACTACAGGTCACACAAGAGGCTCTGTATTGCAGGAGTATTCTATTGATTTTGCTGGCTTCTCTATATTCTCGAGGAAGGACCCTTTTTGATTCCCCCCAGAAAAAGCCTTGAAAGTGTCCTCCTATAAAACATAAGGAGCCTCAAAACTACCCTGCCTTTTCCAAGCCACCCCTCTCCCACGGAGATGAAAAAGAACCAACTACTGGCTAGTTTCTCAAAGGAGGAAAACAAAGTTCAGTAACCATAGTTGATTTGCCCAGGAACGTAAAGCACACTATTTTTTTTTTTTCCTAACCACAAGACCATTTGGAACTCCTTTGAGAAATTCAGCCTCTGCAATCTTCAGCTTCTAGGCTTTTGCTTAGTTTGTACCCTAAAATGGCGGTTTCTTATCCCTGTGAGTTGTAGTGCTGTTTCTAGTGTTTTACTTTGGTGAGACAGGGTCTCATGCATCCCAGGCAAACCTCAAATTTACTATTACTATGTATCTGAGGATGACCTTGAACTTCTGATCCTCTTGCTTCCACCTCCCAGGTACAGGAATTATATGCACCTACAACCCTATTCCACTGTGTGGAGCTGAAGATCCAACTCAAAATTCCATGGATGCTAGGCAAGCACTCCATCAGTTGAGTTTTGTCTCCAGGCCTTTTCATTTGTTCTAAGCATTCAGGACTCTGCTCCACAGCTTCTGTAACTTGTCCATTGCTAGCTACGTAATAAGTCACTTCAGACTATGTCTCACTTCTGAGGCATGAGCACCTACTTTCACAGTTGTTCTGACCGTATATGGCAAAAGGCATTGAGATATCTACTGCCAACTCACTGCTAGCACTCAATAAGTTATTGATTTGATCCAAGCATGAACTTCTGACCAGAATTAATCTCTACTTCTTAGAAACTTTTATACTTCTATTAAGGCACTGAACAAATTCAGCCATTCATTCTATGGATACTGAATAGCATCCATAGAATAGTATACCTAATCCATAGAATAGTCTACCTAATTCTAGTGATGGAAATTTAGACAAGAATCACAGCAGGACATCTATAAAACACTGTAAGGGGAGGGAGAGATGGCTCAGTCAGTAAAATACCTACTGTGGATGCAAGCATGAGTACCTGAGTTTGAATCTCCCGAATCTATGTAAAAAGCTGAACCAGTGGCATGTGCCTATAATCCCAACCCTGGAGGGCAGAGATAGGTGTAAACTGTGAAGCTCACTGATCAGCTCATGTAAATGATGGATGTGCTTCTGGCTCAGTGAGAGTGTGGTGGAGCACACCTTTAATCTGAGAATTTGGCAGGGGCATGTGGATCTCTGTGAGTTCAAGACTGGCATGGTCTACATAGCAAGTTCTAGGACAGTCAGAGGTACACAGTGAGGGCTTGTGTAAAAAATGCATATGACAGGGACCAACAAAATATCCCAGCAGCAAAGAGCTTGTCATGCAAGATTGATGACCTGAATTAAATCCTTGGAATCCAGGTAAAGGTGAAAGGAGAGAACCAACTCTTCAAAGTTGTCCTCTAACCTCCATATGCATGCTGTTACAGGCACAAATTGACACTCATACACCATACACATATACAATAATAATTTAAAAATATATACAAAGCACACACACATCATGAAGAGACAAAGAGGAACCTGCAGCTTGTGTCACAAGCCTATACTCTCAGCATTTGGAAGACAAAGGCAAAAAAAAAAAAGGTTTACTATAAATCTAAGGACAGATTGGTGAACAAATTGAGATTCTTCCCCAAAAGAAAACACTATGAGAGCTGGGGCAGAGCCTGTGGACACTGTGGTGAGACTTTGGGTTCAATCCTCAATAATGTTCCTTCTCAAATAAGAAAAGAGCATCAAGAACTTGGTGATTCCATTTGCTGCATCTCTCTCAACTGTTTCCTCTCAGGCATAACCAGGTGGGTGCCATAGGTCTAGAGTTTCAGCACTGAGAGAGCTGAGGCAGGAGGATGGTGATTTAAAGGCCAGCTTGGCCTTCTTAGTAAGACTATATCTCTGGGATGGAGAGATGGCTCAGAGGTTAAGAACACTGGCTGTTCTTTCAAAGGTCCTGAATTCAATTCCTAGCAACCACAAGGTGGCTTATAACCATCTAAAATGATATCTGGTGCCCTCTTCTGGTGGGTAGGCACACATTCAGGCAGAATACTGTATAAACAATAAATAAGTAAAATCTAAAAAAAAAAAAAAAAAAAAAAAAAAAACTGTCTCAAAAAAAAAAAAAATCAAAGAATCACAAAGTACCAGAGGCAGTGCCCACACAGCAGGCAATTCTAGAAGTTTGAGAGATATGACATGAATCCTCAAAATGTAAAAAAATAGTGATAGGAAGCCAATACCCATGTATCCTGTGTCAAGAACATTCAGAGATCTCACACAGTATCACTGAATCCTCTTAAAGTGATCATTTCCCACCTACAAAGAGGGAAACTGATAAACTCATGCCTATAATTCAAGTAATTAGGAGGCTAAGGTAGGAGGATTGCTTTTGATTCTAAGACCACCTTGGACTATAAAGTGAATCCAGGCAAGCGGGAATACCTAGTGTATCATTGTCTCAAAGAAAAGAGAATAACCCTGAGAAAGTGTGAAGAGAAAGAGCACAACAAAGACAATTCTTGAAATCTGACCCAGAAAAATTAAGGTATGCTAGAGATGAGAGGGAATAAAAAATTTAAGTGTAGCCAAGTGTTTGTATGCTTGTAATCCCAGCACTTGGGGAGGCGGAGGCAGATGGATCTCTGTGAGTTCGAAGCTAACCTGGTCTACAAAGTGAATCCAAGGACAGCCAAGGCCAAGACTATATACAGAGAAACCCTGTCTCAAAAAAAAAAAAAAAAAAAGGAAGGAAGGAAGAAAAGAAAAGAAAGAAACAAAGAAACAAATCTCTACATATTTTTAAAGGTAGGGTTATGCTATGTAGCCTCACTGGGCTGGAACTCCCATGCTGGGCTATGTAGTCCAGGCTGGCCTCAAGGTGACAAAGCTCTGCCAGCCTCTGCCTCCTAAATGATGGCAATAAAGACATGTTATCACTGGAAGGCAGAGGCAGGTGGATTGTTGTGAGTTCAAGGTCAGCCTGGTCTACAAAGCCAGTGCAGGACAGCCAAAGCTACTCAGAGAAACCCTACCTAGAAAACAAAAAGCCATCACACCTGGATTCTCTAATTTTTTTAGACAAAATCTTGCTGTATAGCTCTAGCTGGTCTGGAATTCACTATGTAGATCAGGTTAGCCTTGAACTCACAGTGATCCACCTGCCTCTGCTTCTAGGATGGCGGGATTAAAAGTGTGCCACACCAACCAAGCTCAACTTTATTTTTTATATTGAATTATTTTACTTTATACCTGTGTTTTGCCTGTGTGTACATTTGTGTACCACTTGTATTCAGTACCCAAGGAGGCCAGAAGAGGGCGCTGAATCCTCCAAAACTGAAATTTCAGATAGTTGTTAGTTGCCATGTGGGTGCTATGAACCAAACCTGGGTCTTCTGCAAAAGCAGCAAGCGCTCTTAACCAGTGAGCCATTTGTATAGGCCCCTAATTTTTATTTTAAGAGATTTAATTTAGATTTTATTCTAAGAGGCATAGGGGCACATATCTTTAATCTCACTGGAGGTAGAGACAGGCAGATTTCTATGAGTTCAAGGCCAACCTGGTCTACTTAATAAGTCTCAAGAACAGCCAAGGTTACACAGAGAAATTCTGTCTCAAAAAACCAAAAATATTCTTATTTTCAATTATATATATTGTGTATCTACATGCAGGTATGTGCAAAAGTGTGCAAATGCCCAGGAGGCCTAAGGCATCAGATCCTCTGGAACTAGAATTACAAGCAGTTCTGAGCTATCCAACCTGGGTGCTGGGAACCAAACTTGGATCCTCTGCAGCAGTATTATACTCTTAACTAGTGAGCCATTTCTCCAGTCCCAGCTCTCTGAATTTGTACAGATTAACAAACTGGAGCTCAAAGGGAGGTAAAGGGGCCAAGCATGCTGATATATATCTGTGATCCCAGCACTGGGGATCAGTAGAGGCAGAAAGATAATATGTTTGAACCTAGCCTGGGCTATCCACAGCACAACAAACTTGTCTCAAAAGGGGGGACGGTGTCAGGCAGAGGAAGAGCATGTACTTTGCATGTGTGAAGCCTCCACATGAGATTCTGAGTTTCATATCCAACACCATAGAGACATAGAGATCGTGTTCTAACCTTCTTAATGGTTTAGAAAGGCTCCCGGTTCAAAGTCTATACTTACCCAAGTGTGGTCATGGTGACAATGGTATACCAGAAGGCAGCAGGGATACTTGTAAAGTTAGTCTTGCTTGTTCCCTTCTCAGCATAGAACATGACAGTGGCAAAGATGATGATAGCCATGGTGAGGGAGAAGAGGAGAAAGCCCAGCTCCGAGGCACAGCTCTTGAGGGTGTAGCCCAGAATCCGCAAACCCTGCGAGTGCCTGGAGAACTTGAAGATTCGGAAGACCCGGAACACACGTAGAGTGACAAAGGCACCAGAGACATCATCATTCTTGGGCACAAAAAGCCCGATGTAATAGGGCAAGATGGCCACCACATCGATGAGGCTCATCACGCTACGCAGGAAGCGGCAGCGGCTGGGAGCAGCAAAGAGCCGCAGAAGGTATTCCCCCGTGAATATGAGGACACAGGCTGTGTCCATACAGAAAAAGGCCACCGGGAAGCGTTCACCACAGGGCTGCTCTGACGTAGGCCGCAACGCAGGGCTACGGCATGGGATGGTCTCCACTACATTAGCAATGACTGACACAGCTATGAAAAAACCAGTCACGTAGTAGAAAACGAGTGCTGCAGTGCTCGTGTGTGGGTTTTCAAAGGCCCTCCAGAGTCGCTGTCGTAGGGAGCTGCCTGATGGAAGGGCTGGACCTTCCCCAGCCTGCTCTGCCTCTTCATCTTCTGCCAGGCGCTCTGCATTCTCCTTCTTGCGGTCCCTGTACTCTTCAAGACAGCAGTCACCCACAAGTTCTGGGACTAAGCCATAGAAGGCCAGTTCCTCGTCAAAGGCCTGGATGCACTCCTGCCTGGGACAGTGCAGCCGGCCTGTGCGATAGAAGTTCAGCACGTGTCGAAACATGTCTGGGTCACGATCAAAGAAGTATTCGCCTGATTCAGCATCATAGAAGAATTCCTTCTCTGAGCTGCCGAGCAATGTGTCTGGGTAGCGGTCCAGTGTGTTTTTCCAGGTCTCAAAGCGCCGACCACTCACATTCACCACCAGAACCTCATCCCCTCGGGATGCCTTCACCTCCGGTGCAGGGGGTAGGGGCTGCTGGGCTAAGGGCAGCCAGCCCACTGCTGCGGCCCTTGCAAATGGTAGCCATGTGGCCACACCTGCCGCCATCCTGCAGCTCCCCAGGCCCACGGAGAGTTAGGAGTGTGGTGATTAGGAGAATGTGGCTATCTCCAGGATGGTGGAGGCTTGGAGAGACCTTGGGCTACCCAGACAAGAAAACCAGTGTGTGTGTGTGTGTGTGTGTGTGTGTGTGTGTGTGTGTGTGTGTGTGTTATGAGTGTATGTTTAGAGAGACTAAGAGGAACCAGGAGAAGGAACTAGAGACAACAGACAGGACCTTGGTGGGAATTTTTCTAAGGGACTGAGAAGGGGTTGAAGTGCTATAGGAACCAAGAAGGATCCTCTGGTCTAGAAAGACTGAGATGATTCTAGAGGAGTCAACACATTCTTGTGGGATGTCTGAGGGTGTTCAGAGGGACCAAGAAATAGGTTGGGAGTTGTTCACGCTCAAGAGTTTCCAGTAAAGGAGAGCCTGTAATCCCTCAGTTGGGTTGGAGAGGAGACAAATAAGAGCATTCAGAGGGAGGGAGATGGGACCAGGGCTGTTTAAAAGAGGCCGAAGGGCTGTCCACACCCAGAGGTCTTACAGGAAAATATCCCCAGGTTGGATCCCCCCTGTAGATCAGGAAAGGGGACTGGAGCATCTCAATGGTAGGTAGCTAAAGAGCCAGGAGGTTGTAAAGATGCTAAAAAGTACCTCAGGAGTGGCTAGTGCTGCCAAGAATAGCCTGGAGAATGTTGTCTATAATCTACAAGAGAAGGTAGAAGAGGTGAAGGCCCACTAGTGAGGACTGAGAAGGGGGATAGCTAAAGTAGTAATATGGGACTGGCTTACTTTTTAAGCGGCTGGGAGATATTTGGCAAAGAGGTTACCTGGATGGGCTTAGGAAGCCTGGTCCATATCTGAAGAGCTCTGTGTGAGAAAGAGGGAGGTCTGGGGAATCCCAGAGGGCCGGTACTCAACTGTGCTAAAGTTGGCTATAGCCCCCTAAGCACTCAAGGGAAACTCAAACTCTTAGACTGTGCTAAGAGAAAGGGGATTCCCTCAAAATAGGTTGGAGAGGGGGCGGGGTACTGGAAGAAAGTTGGGTGTGTCTTCTGGGAGAGGGGCTGCAGAATCCTTGCAGGAAGCTGGAAGCGGAGAGCAGGAGAAGGCTTGGTCCCACCGTTGGGGGCAGGTCTGAGGAAAACACACCCCGAGGAGCTGGCGGCATGTGCCCAGCAACAGCAGTAGCAGCAGTGGAAGCAGCAGCAGCAGCAGCAGTAGCAGGAGGAGGAGGAGGAGGAGGAGGAGGAAGAGAGCAGCCACAGCCAGGCCTAGGAGGGAAAGGTGGTACAAGCGGGAGCAGGGTGGGAGACAGGGGGAGGAGGCGGGGTCCTCGGAAGCAGGCTCTAGAAGGACAAGGTCCAGTGGGACCCATGGGGACTGTTCAAGGATGGACTATGGCATGGGGACCGGACCAGGGAAAGATAAGGACGGAGATATTGATGGTCTCCTCCCATTCTGCACAGGGCTGTCCTCACCTGTGTCCTCGCTGCAGCAGCAGCAGCAACAGCGTTGAGGCTGGGGGTACCACACACCGGAGCTCTTGGCCCCTTCTGCAGAGCTGCCCGAGTTCCTCCTCCTCCACTGCTCTCTCCCCGCCCCTCTGGAGCTTGTCGGGAGATGAAGTGAGAGGCAGGGAGGGGCCACGTGGTTCGCAGAGCCCCCTCCCCTAGGACAGCTTGAGAGGGACCCTAGGGAAACTCCGCCTCCTTACAAAGCTGGTTGGGCCTCAGTCGCGTCATCTGGAAAATGGGGGTGGCAGGGAACTTTGCCAGTTCTCCCCACCTCCTACTTCCTGGACTCCCCCTTCTTTCTGCCCAGCTCTTACCCCCACTGCCCCCAGGGGCCCTCACCCCCACCCGTCTGAATCAGCAGCACTTAGCAGAACCAATCGATGGGGAGGCGTCTGTTAATGGCCCCAGAGCGGAGTGCCACAGGGAATGATGCAGTGCTGTGTCCCCTCCCTGCCCCCAGGCTGTGGCAAGGCGGGGAGATGTCGGGGAGGGAGGGACCGGTGGGGACGCTTCTTTAGATGACCAAGCCTCCCAAGTCTACTCTGGAAGGAGGGCATAGGTCAGAGACCAACTTCTAAAACAGACTTCCTTGTGGGGCTCCAGTATACATCTTCCACTTTGGGGATGCAAAACGAGGGGCAAGGGGAATGGAGATGGGGACAATCCAGATACCATCCCCTACCAGCAGGCCCCTTACCAAAAAGAGCAGGCTTCTCATCTGTCTGTATCCAATGCCCGTAAATCACATTTATCCATAGTGGGGTCTGCTTCTGAGTACTGACTGCCTCTGGGATAAGTCTCTGAGTTCTAATCCCAGTTTTGCCAGACTTACTGTGTCCTTGATCAGGTGACTTGTTTCCCCAGTTGTCAGATAGGCTTATCCCAATTTGATAGTGTCCTTTAGTGCATTAACTGAAGTAATATAAATGTGGTTGGCACAGGTAAGGCCTGGCAGAATGCCTAGTCTTAAGTAAGTAAACGTGTGTGATGATAGTGCAGTAAGATAGAACTGCCTAGCCTTTTGAGTCATTTATGCATACGTGCTATTCACTTGCTTGCTTTCCGCCGTAATCCATTCTTTCGTGCACCCATCCTTCTAACTACATAACCAAGGCTTCTACCAATCCCTCTAAATACCCACCTGTCCAGTTAGTCACCCGCCCACTCATCTTCTTACCCTTTGCCACCCTATCCCTATGAATCAACCCTCCATCTATCAACCACTCCATAGCTTCAACTATCATGTATGCATCTGACTTTACCCTCCCCTTTGTTCACTTATATAGCCATAATTCCACTCTAGCCATTTTCAGTTTACTTCCAACCTATCCATAAATCCATACATCTACCCATATAGTTAATTCAGGCACTTATCCATTTGTCCACCCCTCTAAATACCCATCTGTCCATTTATATCTCCATTTCTCCATACTCTAGCCACTTACTGATTCATCTGCTCATTTATTCATCCAGCTACACATCCATCTACCTATGCATTTATTTCCCAGCTGTACAACCACTTATTCCTCAGCCCATCTAAACCACTTACCCACCCTTCCATCTGCTCATTCATCTACACCCTCAATTTTATACACATCCACCCACCCACATATCTGTAGACATTTCTGTTCTACTCTCTTTGAGAGAGTAGATTCTGTCAGGAAACGGGTGAGGTGAGAGTAGAAAAGCAACAGCCAGAGGTCACCTTCCCAATTCCAGTGCAGTGTCCACCACCCCCCCTTCCAGCACATCCCTCTTGATAGAAAAGAATGAGACCAGACAGTCAGTGGATGGGCCCGTCTGGCCAGATGGTATTTTGGCTGCATAGCCTTTACACACACACACTCACACACATACACACATTGCTAGAACATTGAGCATGGACTGCACCCCCACCCAACATCCCCAGGCCCAAATGCAGAGTAGCCAGGCTTCCAGACATAAATTAAAAAATAAAATAAGATGAAAAAAAGAGTTGGTCTCTGGGAGGGAGAGAGAGCTCATGCAGAGTTGAAGGCAGGTGACCCTGGGAGCCAGAGCCAAGATGAAAAAACTCCCTGCCCTTCCCTCAGGATCCCTTCTCCCCAACGGCCTTTGCCATATTATCAGGGTCATCAACACCAGCCATGGACAGGCCTCTAGCCCCTTTAATGTCTATCTCCCAAACTATGACATTTGGTGACAGCCTCCATATCTTCCCACCACAGCCCAAGAGGAGACAGTGGCATTCTGGAAGGGGATGGGAACAGGTGTAGCCTGTAGGTCTTTAGTTGGCTTCTCCAGGTTCTAGGTCTGGGTCAGGGGACCCCACACATTCCTTGCTGAGCCGGACAATTTCCTGGGATAGAACTTCCATATCCTAAGAAACAAATGAGCCATCAGGAGCAAGAGAAGGGGGAGAAAAGGGCAGCTCTTTTACCAAATATGAGGTGTTATATGTAGTTAGATGGCCTGATGGGTTCATCAGTGCCCAGCGGTATCAGGCCTTAGGTGGATGCTTCTCCAAGGCAAGACCTGGGAATGACTCCCTTAGCAATTAAGGAATATTTGGGTTGGGGTGGAGGAATTAATGTGTGGGTGGACCTATGGCAGGGATCTATGGCAGACAAAAAGGCTCACAAATGAACTTTGTAGAGGATAAGACGGTAGGTAGGTAGGCAAGTGACAAGTAGATGGATAAAAGGGTGACTGATGAGTGGATGAAAGAATGAGGTATCAGGAAATGGATGGAAGACTTGGAGCTGGCGGTCTGACAGATAGGCAGATAGCTAGGAAGATGGGTAAATGGTGAGTGAATGCATATATGAATGGATGAGTGGGTGGAAGGACAGATGGAAGAAGAGTGATAGGCTAAACTGGTAGAGTTGACTGGAGGGTAAAAGAGGGGAACACAAAAGGGTGGTAGATGACTGGAAGGTGGTTGCTGGGAGAACAAAGGCCAGTTGGAAAGACACAGCCAGGGACTGTGTGGGTAGGGAGGCAAGTGGTTGGAGGGACGGATGGGCAGCCTGAGAGTCCACACTCGCCTTGTGCAAGTGCATATTCTTGGTGAGTTGCTCCTCCAACATGTTCTGCAGCTTCTTGTTCATTTCCCGAAGGTTCTCATCGCCGGGCTTCACTAGATCTCTCAGGACACTGCCCAGCCCACTTCGGTCTGTGTGGCCTGCTGCCACAGACACATCTGCAAGGGTCCAGGCTGAGCACCACACCCTCGGCAGAGCCGGGGCAGGTGGGGAGGGGAGTGGGCAGAGACAAAAGAGAAAGGAGGAAAACAAAGAGCAGGCAAGAAGGGAGGGAGAAAGGAAATGTTACATTGGGGCGGAGGCTTTGCCATGTGAAACCCAGCTGTTATTAGTTATGTGACCCTGAAAAATAGGGAAAATTCATAACTAGTGGTTCTGCAAATATGTATGTGAATGCATATGACATACAGGGCACAAAGTAAACCCTCAGAGCATGTCTTACTAATTAAGAAAAACCAGGTGGAAGATTTGAAAGCAAGGAATAAAACAGAGGAGAAAGAAGATGGGATGGGAGAGAGTCAGATGGGAAAGGAAGTCATCACCATGAAGTTCAGAGAAGACAACAGGGATGAAAGTACTGTCACTGAAGATGCATGGCTGGGTAGAGTCATGCATACATGTAATCCTAGTCCCTGGAAGGTAAGGGCAGGATTGCTGAGAGTTTGAGGCCAGCCTGTGCTATGAAGCAAGTAGCAGGCCAGACAAGGCTACATAGAAAAATCCAGTTTCATAGAACAAGCCAACAAATAAAAATGGAAATAGAACAATAGAGCTACTAAGAAAAAATGAAGTAGAAGAACAGAAAAAAATGCATAGAGAAATAGAAGGCAGGGAAAAAAGAATAACACAGAAAAAAAGAGACAGAAAAGTCCAAGGAAAACTACTAGAGAATGGAGGAGGTAGAAATGATGAGTACAAAGAGGAGGCCAGGTAAAAATGCAAAGCTTCCCTGCTCTCCCCTCCATGGGTCATGGTCTTGTCAATAGCTTCGCTGAGTTTCAAGAAGCATAAAACGATGGAATAGGAGGGGGCATGTGAAGGTTGCACTGTAGGTGAGGACTGGAGTCGGGCACTGACCAATCCGGCTATCCATGACGTAGGTCTCAATGATGGCGCTTTTCCGGCAGAGGTCCTCTGCCATAGAGGCGCTGCTCACCTCCAAATGTTTCACCTGCAAGATGGTCCCATCTCAGACCCCTCAACTTACCATTTTTTTCTCATGAGGAAGGACCCAGGCAGACACCCTTCCCACCCACAACCCCATCTGAGGGTACTTCACATGGGGACTAGCAAACAGATACACAGCACCTTTTCCTCCAGCATCCATTTTTCCTGCTGTGTCTCAGCCAGCCTCTGAAACAGCTCAGCCACTTCCTCGTCTGACAGCTCTGCTGGCCGAGGGGGCTGGGCCTGGGGACTGCTGGATAAAGACTACAACAAAGAGAGAGAAAATCTAGCCATTCTCAGCAGAACACATCCACTCTGAGTTAGGAGCTGGAGGCAAGTGGACGAGTATAGGCTCTGAGGCTGGAGCTACCAGCCACATTTGGCACTCTGAGATACTTCATATTGTCTTTGGTGTGAACAGAGACAAACAATGTTACCACCACAACAGAAAAGTTACTGAGAGGATTAAGGGAAATCCAGTAGCAAATGACATCTAATTCCCAGATGACAGGAAATGGTGTACTCTGAAAGTGAATTCTAGCTTTTACAAAGAAAAGATACTTTAAAAGCTCACTAGAAATATTAGACAAAATATTAGATGAGATGAGGAAGGGAGAGCAATCAACTGAATAAAACCAGGTTACTTGTCATCTCAATTGTTTCTTTTAAATGTACACATTTATTTTTACTGCTTTTATCTATCTACTTTTGTGTATCAGTGTGAATGTATGCCACATGTGTGCCAGTGACCAAGGAAGTCAGAAGCAAGGGTGGGATCCACGGAACTTGGGTTACAAGTAGTTCTGAACTGCCTGATGTGGGTGCTGGGAATTGAACTTGGGTCCTTTAAAAGAACAATCAGTGCTCTTAACTGCTGAGCCACCTATCTAGGCTCCTAGTTTTGTTTTGTTTAAGATTTATTTATTTATTATGTGTACAGTGTTCTGCCTGCATGTACACCTGCATGCCAGAAGAGGACACCATATCTCAGCATAGATGGCTGTGAGCCACAATGTGGTTGTTGGGAATTGAACTCAAGACCTCTGGGAGAGCAACCTGTGCTCTTAACCTCTGAGCCATCTCTCCAGCCCCCAGGTTTTTTTTTTTTTTTTAATTGAAAAAAAAATGGTTTAAGCCAGGTGGTGTTGGCGCACACCTTTAATCCTAGCACTCAGGAGGCAGAGGCAGATGGATCTCTGTAAATTCGAGGCCAGCCTGGTCTAGAGTTTGAGTTCCAGGACAGCCAAGGCTAAATAGGGAAACCCCGTTTGAGGCCAGCCTGGTCCACAGAGTGAGTCCAGGATAGCAAAAACTATACCGAGAAAACCTGTCTCAAAAAACAAATCAAGGGGTATGGAGAGATGGCTCAGAGGTTAAGCATACTGGCTGTTCTTCCAAAGGTCCTGAGTTCAATTCCCAGCAACCACATGGTGGCTCACAACCATCTATGGTGAGATCTGGTGCCCTCTTCTGGTGTGCAAGTGTACATACAGACAGAACATTGTATACATAATTAAATCTTTTTTAAAAAAGAAAACAAAATTAAAAAAATACAAATAAAAAGTGGTTGGCAAGGAACATGGTGTGACAGATGGCAATAATAATAATGATAAATATAAGTTGTTGAAAAGAACTAGCCACAGTGGCTCATGCTTAATCTCGGCATTTTAGAGACTGATTCAAAATGCTTATGAATTCAAGACCAGCCTGTGCTACATATCAAGAATCCAATATTAAAAAGGGGGGAGGACATAATAAATAGGGGCTGGAGAGATGGCTCAGGAGTTAAGAGCACTGGCTTATTCTTCCAGAGGACTGGGGCTCAATTTCCAGCAGCTACATGACAGCTCACAACTAGGTGTTGTAACTTCAGTTACAGGGCAATCTTCCACCCTCTTCTGGCCACTCAAGGTACTGCGTGCATGTGGTGTAAAACACACCCATTCTCATAAAACAAGAAGATAAAAATCAAAAATTATTTAAGACAAAGCATGGTGGCACATGTCTTTAATCCCAGCACTTTGGAGGCAAACCATGCAGATCCCGGAAGGTTAAGGCCAGCCTGGTCTACATAGTGAGTTCTGGGACAGTCAGGGCTATGTAAGAGATCCTGTCTCAAAAAATTTATTAAGAAAAGCAGTGAATGCCCAGACATGGTGGCACACACCTTTAATCCCATCACTCAAGAGGCATACAAGGCATAGTTCTTCCATGAGATTAAGGCCTATATGGTCTACGTAGGATGTTACAGGTCAACCAGGGCTATATAGCAAGATAGTGTCTACAGAAAATAATAGAGTTGGAAAAACATACCTCCTACACGAGTAGTGCACTTCCTACAATGCTTGTACTTTATAGCACTAGGAATGGTGGGATTAACCTACGGATGATGAAATAGAGGGGCAGAGAGAATGACAGGCTTGTCTCCCATGTATTAGTATTAATTTGAGTTTGGGGCGTTGACAAAATGCTTTTGTCAGGGGCTGAGGTTGCAGCTTAGTAGAACAGCAAATGTTGACATATGTTTGCATGTACGTGTAAGTATAAGTTACCATGTTAAATCCTCAGTCTGAGAGACACAGGGCCAGACAAAGAGACACATACATACAGAGAGAGGAAAAAAAAGAAAAACTCTAACACATAAAGAGGCAGAGAAGAAATGTTTGTCCAAAGGTCAGTGTAGACAATTTCAAGTGAGTAGAAAATAGGGAAACTCCAGACTTATTTATTAGTAGGTGAAACTTGCCCCTTACCCTAGCTGGCATGGCTGAACTCTCTTTCTCCTTCAAAATCTCCCGGTAGCTGAAGGAAGAGACGCTACTGCTGTCCCCTGTCTGGGTCCTGCTTGGTGAATTCATCTCAGAGAGAACCAGCTCCTCAAGGCCTGAGTGTGAAGGAAAAAGAAACCTGAGTTTGGATCCCTTGGAATCTTAGGACAGCAATCAGCAGGAAGAGGCAGAAACATATTTTCCAGAGAGAAAAAGAGAAAAAAAAAAAAAAAAAGACAAAACTCAGGCAAGAAAACTCCAAGGACTGTACCAGACAGAAACAAGGACCTGTCACTGTTGGTAAACATATCCAGTGAAAGAAAGGGAAGTGAGTATGCACAAGATTCCAGTGGCATAAGTATTCAAAGTGAGATGAAGAAGAAAGGCAGAAGAGTGAGAGTATGTGGCAGCACACACACATGCAGGGAAAAGCCCAGAGCCAGGAAGCTAGCATGTGATGGGGACCAGCAGAAACCACAGAGAAAGACAAAATGAAGATGGAGACAGACTTGTAGTCATTTTCCTAGACCTCAGGCCCATCTAATGGATAAAAAACATGGACAATATAGAAGCCTAGGACAGGTGGTGGTAGTGCACACCTTTAATCCCAATACTCAGGAGGCAGAGGCAGGCGATATCTGAGTTCAAGGACAACCTGGTTTATGGAGTGAGCTCCAGGACAGTCAGAGATACTCAGTGAAACCCTGTCTTGAAAAAATAAAGCAAACAGCTGGGTGGCACACACCTGTAATCCCAGCACTCAGGAAGGCAGACACAGGTGGATCTTTGTGATTCAAGGCCAGCCTGGTCTACAAAGTGAGTCCATGACAGCCAGGGCTACACAGAGAAACCCTATCTAGTAAAACAAAAATTAAAAACAAAAAAACCCAAGCAAAGAAACAAAATTCTAATCTATCCTCCACTTCTTAAATTAATCTAAAACAAAACACTTCTATTAAAATGAAAGGTTACTCCAGGAGGCTGAATGGGATATTGGTTTGGTGAGAAATATGTGTTTTGCCATGTCACTTGAACACTTGCTGAGCATGGTGGTGCATGCCTACAGGTAGACTATTTGAGCTCAGGAGTTCAGGGCCAGCCTGGGCAACACAGAAAAACCCTGTCCCCCAAACAAAGACAGAAAACACTGATACTGAGTTGGTGACACTGCCCTTACAGCCACTCCCATACTCCAAAGGGATCTCTGGAAGGGTGCAATGCCTGAGTGGGGTTCTGCCAGAAATTCCGATGACAGTCAGTTTTCTCTAAGTCTGTCTGTGATTTAAGAGAAGCACTAGAGCCATTACTGAGTTATTTGAATCTATTTACAGCTACTCCCAACCAAGAAAAGGTAGAAACACTTCCCTGTTTGTGTGGGCGTGTTTTCTGCTTTCACTGGAAGAAGTACCTTGGGTTGTGTTGGCTGTATATTGAAAACAGTGCAAGCCAAATGTAGTGGCTTATGTCTGTAACCAAACTCCTGGGAAGGTAAGGCACAGCACCATGAGTTTGAAATCAGCACGGGCTACAAAGTGATGCTTTTTTTAAAAAATAGAAAAACAAAACGAGAAGAATGACAGTGATGACAATAATGAAGAGTACAGTGTGAGTGTAGTGCTGTTCCTATGGAAATCTGTCTCCCTTGATGCATTGTGAGTTCCTGGAGGGGAATGACTTGGGGCTTGGAGTAGGGCTTGTATCACAGATCCTAGACAGGAGGATTTCTAGAATACAATAATGGAAACAGTAGAGAAAGCAGAGAAATAAAGGCAGATACAGAGCAAAGAACACAGGCAGAGAAAGAAACGGAGAAGGCAGGGAGAAGCTAGACAGACAGACAGACAGACACACACACACAGCAGACAGTGCAGAGAGAAAAAAGACATAAAATTCAGGCAAGACAAAGGGCTGGAGCAGGGTTCAGGGAGGTCTGGGAGGCAGCCCTAAGGTGCAGCTTCCAACTGTCCTGCCCTTTTACCTGAGCGGCTCTTGCTATTGGTGAGGATGTCCTGCAGCCGCTCCTGAAGTTTGTCAGCCCGTTTCCTTTCCAGGTGCAGCTGCCGCTTAAGGTCTTTGAGCTAAAGGTGAGGGAAGGGATTGAGTACTGTAGCCCAGGGTGCCCATACAAGAGGGGAGAGGAGATCACAGGCCCCACTAGCTTACCACAGCACTGCCTTTCTTTTCCAGAATCCGCTGCCCGTCCACTGTGTCCTTTACCTCCTGTGGTTAGAGAAGGCACAGCTGCCTGCAGAACATTCCCCCCACCCCCACCCCATCCCATTCTGCAAGCTTAGGACATGGCTTTGCCTGGGACCACAGAGATACCACAGACCTGCTTCAGGCTGCTGATGGTCTTCAAATAGCCATCTCGCTCCTCCCGGGCCTGCAGGAGCTGATCCCGCACACTCTGAAGCTCTTCCTCCTTGCCCTGCAGAGCAAACAACAACTCGGGCCACTGCATGAGAAGTCCCTGTTCTCCTGCAGGAGTAGCCGGTACCCAGAGACAAGAATATCACTGTTCGAGAAGCACCTTCAGTTCAGCAGCGTGCTCCTCCTGGCACTGCTTGAGGGTTTCCTCTTGCTCCTGCTGCTGCTGCAGCAAGGATTCCTATAAGAGTCCCAGGAGATAATGTGTCCAGTTACGGGCATGTCAATTTCAGCAGAGTTTTCAGGGGTATGACGAAAACACCTTTTTACTCTCAGTATAACCTGAACTAGCCTTGAACCCCAATCCTGCCTCAGCCTTAAGTGCTGGGATTTACAGATAACTCACTGCCATTCCAGGCAGAGAATATCTTGTAGGAAATAGCACACGTGCCTTTAGGCAGAAATTTGAAGTCAAAGCCTATATCATTTACATAGTAGATCAAGTGATTTGCATTTATACTTTATTTAATAAAACAACACTGCATACCAAGTGGTTGCACATATATTAAGTCATTTTCTATAATCTTCCTAAACTACCTTGGACAGTAAGGCATTATTTTCATCATTAATTTTTGTTGTTATTTTTTGAGACAGGGTTCCTCTGTTTCTCTGTGTAACAGCCCTGGTTGTCCTACAACTCACTATGTAGACCAGAGTGAGCTAGTCTCGAACCATGGGCTCGAACTAAGAGAGATCAGCCTGCTTCTATCTCCTGAGTGCATGGTGGCATGTGCCACCATGTCTGGGTCATCATTAATATTTCTGCTGCTGGGAATTGAAGCTGAGTCCTCATTCATGTTAACTATGTGGTCTACCAAATGAGCTATACTCTATGTCCCTCCTATCCCCTTTGTGCCAGAGATGAAATACATTGCATAAGATCATACCTCTAGGAAGTGCCCCCGTCAGCATTCAAAGTTAAGGAACCACCTGGCTCCACTGTGTGCTTTTCTCTGCTACAGGACGTTGCCTCTTGTTATTGTCATGGATTACCAAAAAGTGCATTACAACTTTTTCGCAGAGGAACAATCCAGGAGGAAGAAAAGCCTCTTCAAATCTACACAGAGGCAAAGCATGGGTGCCCCTAACCAGCTTTGTACCTTTACTAGGCACCACCAACTTACCTCGGTCTCCTTCAAGCGCCGTTCAAACCAGCCCTTAGCTCCATCCATGGAGTGTACCTTAGCCTGAAGTTCTTCCACTGTGTGCTGAAGATTTTCCAATTCCCGTGTTCGGGCCTGGAGGCAGAACACAGTCAGGAACTGGCCAGCAGAGGACTGGGCACACCTTGCATGTCACCTGCAACGCCATGGTTCTCAGCTAGTAGATGCAAAGGGGTATTGTTACCCCACCCACCTTCTCCTCCCGAATCTGTCCCCGGAGCTCCTCCTCCTGCCGTTTCTTGTCCTCATGCAGCTCTCTAAGCTCACGCTCATAACGGGCTCGCACGCCCAGCATCTCCTTTTCGTGTCGTAATCGGACAGCTCCCAGTTCTTCCTTGTGCTGGGACTTCTCCTGCAATGTCTCCATTGCTAGCTCATCCAGCATGACCTTCCTTTTCTCAGCACTCTGGGACCAAAGGAGTAGGCCAAGAGAGTGACAATTAACTTCATCTCCCAACACCACAAAATGACCACTATTCTGTTCCATGTCTACTAGCCAGACTCCACCAATTCTCCGGCCCTTCAAACTGGCTGAGTCATTCATCAATCCTTGAGGAAATGATCATTTTCTTTCTCTTTTCATTCCCAAGATTTGGCCATGATATGGCCATAATAGTTCCTACCCACATGGACTGTGCTATCTTTTTACCTCTTCCCATGGTGCCCCACCTTCTGAGCTTCCTGGAGATCATGGGTCAACTGTTCCTTCTCCTGCCCTATTTCTTGAAGTTGTTCCAGCAGCCGGTTATTGGCCCTTAGTGACTCCTAATTCAAGAAAAAAGGGGAAGTTTGAGAAAAATCCCTAGTAGGTACCAATAACCTAGAGCACTTCTTTCTTTCTTTCTTTCTTTCTTTCTTTCTTTCTTTCTTTCTTTC